AGTGAGTGTTATGGCAACTAAAACAATTAAACTAAAACAATTAAATTTAAATCCTTTGTCAGTGGCGAAGTATTTTTGAAGCAAAGGGGTAGAGGATTATGCTCGAATCCAACTTTTTCTTTACTTAACCTATCGGGAAGTTTTAAAAAAAGAAAACCAAGTTCTCTTTAAAGAAAAATTTCAAGCTTGAGAAGGTGGACCAGTTCTTGAATCAGTTCATCAGCAAATGAAACATCATTTTGAAGAACATGGAACCATGGATTGTTTATTTGACCAAGTTGAGGACTTAGAAGATAAAGAAATTAGACCTTATCTAACCAAAACTTACCGAGATTACCAAACTGCTAAAAAGCAAGGTAAAGAACTTTACTTCCTTTTCCAAAATGAGGATGAACCTTGAGAACAAGTTCGTGAGCAGACCAATGGAGAAATGAGACCTCATGTCTTTCTAGAACCAAGAAAAATTATTACTCTTACTAATTAATGCCCCAAATCGTTTTTGATTTTAAAGACCTAACTGCTGATTGCTTACATGATGACAAAATAAAATTCACTAATGCGGTTAGTTCAGAAATAGATAGCAAAATATTCATCAGCGAATTATTCCAAAATCTACAATTAACTTGCCAAGAAACAGAATTAGAGAAACTTTTTAAGAAAGAACATTTTCATTTCGTTCAAAATCCTTATACTATAGAAAAAATCAAAAAACTGGTAAACAATCCCTATCTTGACTATAACAAACTTTGCCAAATCCCTTTGGGAAAAGAACCGCGATTATATGGCAATCTCCAAAAACTTAAACACACTAACCTTTACCTTTTTAAAGCCCTAATTTTTGACCCTAATCACCTAATTTATGAGGGAACTAAATTCAATAAGTTAAAGAATATGACTTGTCTATTTAGTGAAAGTAATTGTTCAGAAACCTGTAAACTAGGAAAAAAAAATAAAACCAAACCGAGATAATTTCCATTCTTCCAGCAATCGACCAAAATATTTTTTCAGAAACTAGAAAAAATCCCCACTTTCTAATTAAAAAATCAAGTAAAAATTCCCCTTAATTTTTCTAAATTGTAGATCGACATAGCTAATGGTTATGTCG